ATGGAGGAGAGACACGCCCCCGCGATGGGCGGAACGACCGAGGACGGTGGAGAGCCTCGCCCCCGCGATGGGCGACGGTAGAGAGCCTCGCCCCCGCGATGGGCGACGGTAGAGAGCCTTGTTGCCACGGCGGACGATGATGGAGAAGCAAAAGTAGAGGATGCTCCCACGGCAGACGTTGAAGGAAAGCAAAAGGAGAGGGCACTCCCACGGCAGACGTTGAAGGAAAGCAAAAGGAGAGGGCACTCCCAAGACAGACGATGAAGGAGAAGGAAAAAGAGAAGATGCTCCCACGGTGAACGATGATCGAGAAGCAAAAGGAGAGGGTGCTCCCACGATGGACGACGCTGGAGAAGCAAAAATGAGGGCGTTACCACGGCGGATGATGAAGAAAAAGCAAAAGGAGAAGATGCTCTCACGGCGAACGATGAAGGAGAAGCAAAAAGAGAGGATGCTCCCACAGTGAACGATGACAGAGAAGCAAAAGGAGAGGATGCTCCCACGGCGAACGATGACAGAGAAGCAAAAGGAGAGGATGCTCCCACGGCGAACGATGACGGAGAAGCAAAAGGAGGGGATGCTCCCACGGCGAACAATGACGGAGAAGCAAAAGGTGAGGATGCTCGCACGGGAAACGATGATGGAGAAGCCAAAGGAGAGGATGCTCCCACGGCGAACGATGATGGGGAAGCAAAAGGAGAGGATGCTCCCACGGCGAGCAATGAAGGAGAAGCAAAAGGAGAGTGCGATCCCACGACGGACGACACTGGAGAAGCAGAAGTGAGGGTGCTCCAACGACGGACGACACTGGAGAAGCAAAAGTGAGGGCGCTCCCAGGGCGGACGATGAAGGAAAAGCCAAAGGAGAGGATGCTCCCACGGCGAAAGATGTTGGGTGAAGCAAAAGGAGAGGGCGATCCCACGACGGACGACACTGGAGAAGCAGAAGTGAGGACGCTCCCACGGCGGACGATGATGGAGAAGCCAAAGGAGAGGACGCTCCCATGGCGATCGATGAATAAGAGTAAAAGGAGAGGCTGCTCCCACAGCGGACGATGAAGGAGAAGCAAAAGGAGAGGATGCTCCCACGACGGACGACGCTGGAGAAGGAGAAATGAGGGTGCTCCCACGACGGACGACACTGGAGAAGCAAAAATGAGGGTGCTCCCACGGGGGACGACACTGGAGAAGCAAAAGGAGAGGACGCTCCCACGGCGGACGATGATGGAGAAGCAAAAGGACAGGGCGCTCCCACGACGGATGACGCTGCAGAAGCAAAAATGAGGGCGTTACCACAGCGGACGATGAAGGAAAAGGAAAAGGAGAGGATGCTCTCACAGCGAAAGATGATCGAGAAGCAAAAGGAGAGTGCGCCTCCACGACGGCGATGAAGGAGAAGCAAAATAAGAGGATGCTCCCACGGCGAACGATGACGGAGAAGGAAAAGGTGAGGATGCTCCCACGACGAACGATGACGGAGAAGCAAAGGAGAGGATGCTCGCACGGCGAACGATGATGGAGAAGCCAAAGGGGAGGAAACTCCCACGGCGAACGATGATGGAGTATTAAAAAAAGAGGATGCTCCCACGGCGAACGATGAAGGAGAAGGAAAAGGTGAGGATGCTCCCACGGCGAACGATGACGGAGAAGCAAAAGGTGAGGATGCTCGCACGGGAAACGATGATGGAGAAGCCAAAGGGGAGGATGCTCCCACGGCGAACGATGATGGAGTAGCAAAAAAAGAGGATGCTCCCACGGCAAACGATGAAGGAGAAGCAAAAGGAGAGGGCGCTCCCACGGCGGACGATGCTGGAGAAGCAAAAGCAGAGGGCGCTCCCACAACGGACGACGCTGGAGAGGCAGTGTCCTGCAGCACATG